ACTGATGTTTGTGTTGCAGGGATCGTTCTGACCAGAGCTGGGTATTACACCATCCCCTCCATGGAGGAGCTGGCGCGTTTCACCAACGACAGGAATGAATGTGTCGTCACAGACTTCACCATCGGCCGGAAAGGTACGGGCGGTTCTTCTGGTGGGGTGGGGCTGAACCAGGGATTTTTTTAAACTACAGAACCCCAGCCTGAGTTCTGTGCCCTCCGTGGGGTTTATAACCAGTCCTTCCCTTGCCAACAACTCTCCTTGCCTATAGAAGAGCTGGGGAGGGACTCTTTGCCAGGAAGGGTAATGATAGGACAAGGGGAAACGGTTTTAAATTGGAAGAAAAAAGATTCAGATTAGATCTCAGGAAGAAATTTTTTACTCTGAGGGTGGTGAGACACTGGAACAGGTTGCCCAGAGAAGTTGTGGCTGCCCCATCCCTGGAGGGGTTCAAGGCCAGGCTGGATGGGGCCTTGAGCAACCTGCTCTGGTGGGAGGTGTCCCTGCCCAGGGCAGGGGGGTTGGAACTCGATGATCTTTGAGGTCCCTTCCAACCCAAACCATTCTGTGATTCTGTGAACTTCATCAGAGGCTTGTGATCTTCCACCCTGATAGCACTGATAATTGTATTGAGGGGTGACTTGAATACAAAAAGGAACAAAAGCTTTTTGGTAGCTTTTAAGACAGAATCACAGAATGACATGGGGTTGCAAGGGACCTCTGGAGATCATCTCCTCCAACCCCCTGCCAAAGCAGGGTCACCCAGAGCAGGTCCCACAGGAACGTGTCCACGTGGAGGTTGAATGTCTCCAGAGGAGGAGACTCCACCACCTCCTTGGGCAGCCTCTGCCAGGGCTCTGCCACCCTCACAGGAAAAAGTTCTTCATCTCGTTGAGGTGGAACTTCCTATGTTGAAGTTTGTGCCCCTTTCCTCTTGTCCTGTCACTGGGCACCACTGAAAAAAGTGGTGGCCCCATCCTCCTGACACCCACCCTTGAAGTATTTATAGGTGTTGATCAGATCCCCCCTCAGCCTTCTCTTCTCCAGACTAAAAAGCCCCAAGTCCCTCACCCTCTCCTCATGAGAGAGATGCTCCAGGCCCCTCATCATCTTTGTAGCCCTTTGCTGTCCCCTCTCCAGCAGTTCCCTGTCCTTCTGGAACTGGGGAGCCCAGAACTGGTCCCAGTGCTCCAGCTGGGGCCTCCCCAGGGTGGAGGGGGAGGATGATGTCCCTCCATCTGCTGGCCATGCTTTTCTTGACGCTCCTCAGGAGACTATTGGCCTCCTTGGCCACCAGGGTACGTTGCTGGCTCATGGTTCTCCTGTTGCCCACCAGGACTCCCAGGTCTTTCTCCTCAGAGCTGCTCTCCAGCAGGTCCCCCCCAACCTGTCCTGGTCCATGGGGTTATTCCCTCCCAGGTGCAGCACCCTGCACTTGCCCTGCTTGAACTTCATGAGGTTCCTCTCTGCCCAACTCTCCAGCCTGTCCAGGTCTCGTTGTGTGGTGGCACAGCCTCCTGGTGTGTCAGCCACCTAGACTTGCTCTCCCTGAACGCAACGGTTGTAAAATCCAAACTTGCTGGAGGGTTTCACTGAATTTCACTGAATTTTTAGAGTTGGAAGGGACCATAGAGATCATCTAGTCCATCTAGTTGATGCAAAACCGATTGTTGTTGCTTCTGTCAGAGTTGCTGCTGATGCTGGAGCTGGCTGAGCTCTGGGGACGAGCCTTCAGCCCAGACTGCACCTTTGCTGCTTTTATTCAGGGAAAAAAAAGTCTAGTCATATGATTTGTACTATTTTTGAAACACTTTTTCTGATTGTGCTGTAAAGCTGAGGGTGTGCTTAGTGTTTGTGATGGCAACGTGAGTAGCCTGGTGATAACAAAAAGCTTTCTGTGCAGAAGAAATGGTCATAAAAAAAGCTGATAACACATTTTCAGTGTTTTTACCCTGGAAGGAGGAGTCACTTGTAGGTTGTTCTGGTGACCAAGCCGAGCGGTGAGGGAGAAAAAAGAAGGGGCGTAGCAGGAATGTGGGTTCTCTGGATTGTTCACGGATAAATTGTGACATTTGGGTTTGTTTTTCAGGTTATGGATCCATTTACTTCGAAGGCGAAGTGAATCTAACGAACTTGAACCTGGATGACATTGTCCATATCCGTAGGAAAGAAGTAATTGTTTACCCTGACGACGAAAGAAAACCTCCTATTGGTGAAGGTTTAAATAGGTAATTTTTAAACATGTCCTGTGTGGGGACAGAGGTGATGTTTTATACAATATTGACCATTTACTGTGTTTGCAGGCAGGTACCAAGAAATCAGCACCTCAATGTCCTTCTTGTGGTGAGGGGCCCAAAACTGAACACAGCCCTCGAGGTGAGGCCTCACCAGTGCCCAGTCCAGAGGCACGATGACTTCCCTACTCCTGCTGGCCACACTATTCCTGATATGAGCCAGGATGCCATTGGCCTTCTTGGCCACCTGGGCACACTGCTGGCTCCTGTTCAGCCTGCTGTCCACCAACACCCCCAGGTCCTTTTCTTCTGGGCAGCTCCAGCCACTCTGCCCCAAGTCTGTAGCGTTGCCTGGGGTTGTTGTTGACCAAAATGCAGGACCCGGCACTTGGCCTTATTGAACCTCATCCCATTGGCCTTGGCCCATTGATCCAGTCACCATTCAGGGTGCAGCATTATACAATTCCGAGATATTTCCAAGTTCCTCAACCAGAAATTGGGTTTAAAAACCGATTTGAGCCCACTCGTTGAGTTCTTGGCTCCTCTCTGTGTCCTTTGATAGCTTTGCCTCAACTCCTTGTGGTCCCTTACGACAGACACTTGTGTCTCTCTGACAGACGAGCTGAAGTTACTTTGGATGGAGTCTGGCCCACGGATAAAACGTCCCGGTGCCTGATCAAAAGCCCCGAGCGCCTCGCGGAGATGAATTACGAGGGCAGGCTGGAGGCCGTGTCTCGGAAACAGGGCGCTCGATTCAAGGAATATCGCCCCGAGACCGGCTCCTGGGTGTTCAAGGTAATGGTTTCGTTCTGGTTGATTGTTCTACAAGAATATGGGAAGGAATCTGGGGTTAGGAGCTCCTGAGAACTTACTGAAACTTTGCTAAATTTCTTTTAAACTGTCTCAAGTCCTTCAGCTGTAGCGCAAAGTGTCCTCACCAAACCCAGCAGGTGTCCTAGGGCTGTGCAAAAGCTTAAGCTGTTGAGGTGGCACAACTGTGTGAGGTTGACGGTTACACCAGTTCATCGATCAGGCCTTTTTAAGATCATTGAGTCCAACCATCAACCCAACACTGACAAACCCACCACTGACCCAGGTCCCTCAGCACCATGTCTGCCCAGCTTTGAAATCCCTCCAGGGATGGAGACTCTACCACTGCCCTGGGCAGCCTCTGCCAAGGCTTCACAACCCTTTCCAGGAAGAAATTGTTCCCAAGCTCCATCCTCAACCTCCCCTGGGGCAACTTGAGGCACCAATTCCAGGAAGAAATTCTTCCCAAGCTCCATCTTCAACCTCCCCTGAGGCAACTTGAGGCACCAAATTGTCCCATGCCCTGTTCCTTGGGAGAAGAGACCGACCCCCCCTGGCTACACCCTCCTTTCAGGGAGTTGGAGAGAGCCAGAAGGTCTCCCCTCAGCCTCCTTTTCTTCAGGCTCAACGCCCCCAGCTCCCTCAGAAGTTCTCCAGACCCTTCTCCTTGTGCTCCAGAGCCCTCACCAGTTCCGTTGCCCTTCTCTGGACACGCTCCAGCCCCTCAAGGTCTTTCCTGCCAGGAGGGACCCAAAACTGGACCCAGCCCTCGAGGTGGGGTCTCCCCAGTGCCCAGTCCAGGGGGATGGTCACTGTCCCAGTCCTACTGGTCCTGACACAGGCCAGGATTCTGGTGGTCTCCTTGGCCACCTGGGCACGCTGCTGGCTCCTGTTCAGCCCATGTTGACCAACACCCCCAGGTCCTTTTCCGTGGGGCAGCTCCAGCCCCTCTTCCCCCAACCTGGGGCCTCCATGGGGTTGGTGTGACCCAAGGGCAGGACCCGGCCCTTGGCCTTGTTGAACCTCACACCGTTGGCCTTGTGTGGCAAATAAGGGCACGGACTCTGCCAAGTGATGAAGCGAAGACGTTTAATTTCATTAATTAACAATATATATAATATATATAATATTAATTAACAATAATAAACATTTAATAATGTTTTATTTTCACAGCATATATAGTTTCTCTCTTTTGATGACGCACTGTGTTCTCTACACAACTGGGTTGTGGGGCCTGTCCACACGCTGTTGTGAGCAATACAATTGGCTACATAGCAGTGTTCATGAGCCTATGCAGCTGTGCTCTCTACACAGATGGGTTGTGGGGACTGTCCACACGCTGTTGTGAGCAATACAGTTGGCTACATGGAAGTGTTCATGAGCCTATGCTAATTAATCATTATTTGTATTAGTCATTGTTATTTGTTTTGATATTGTTTATTTTGCTAGCTTGATATCTCTATTGTTTTCACGTTACCATATAAGGGCATTATTTTACTCTTCTCAAGGCTTCCTTCCCATCACTGTAAGAACATCTGCCAAGCTCTCGCTCAGCAGTTTGTCTCCACAATCCCCATCACTGCAAGAACATCTGCCAAGCTCTTGCTCAGCAGTTTGTCTCCACAGTTCCTCACTCCCCACAGCCTTGGTCCATCCATCTGGTCTGTCCAGACCCCTCTGCAGACCCTTCTGCCCTCCAGAAGGTCAACATCCCACCCATCTCAGTGTCCTCTGTGAGCTTAGTGAGGGCGTGCTCAGCAGCTCCAGCCCCTCTTCCCCCAGCCTGGGGTGTCCATGGGGTTGGTGTGACCCAAGGGCAGGACCCGGCCCTTGGCCTTGTTGAACCTCACACCGTTGGCCTTGTGTGGCAAATAAGGGCACGGACTCTGCCAAGTGATGAAGCGAAGACGTTTAATTTCATTAATTAACAATATATATAATATATATAATATTAATTAACAATAATAAACCTTTAATAATGTTTTATTTTCACAGCATATATAGTTTCTCTCTTTTGATGACGCACTGTGTTCTCTACACAACTGGGTTGTGGGGCCTGTCCACACGCTGTTGTGAGCAATACAATTGGCTACATAGCAGTGTTCATGAGCCTATGCAAATTAGTCATTGTTATTTGTTTTGATATTGTTTATTTTGCTAGCTTGATATCTCTATTGTTTTCACGTTACCATATAAGGGCATTATTTTACTCTTCTCAAGGCTTCCTTCCCATCACTGCAAGAACATCTGCCAAGCTCTTGCTCAGCAGTTTGTCTCCACAGTTCCTCACTCCCCACAGCCTTGGTCCATCCATCTGGTCTGTCCAGACCCCTCTGCAGACCCTTCTGCCCTCCAGCAGGTCAACATCCCACCCATCTCAGTGTCCTCTGTGAGCTTAGTGAGGGCGTGCTCAGTCCCCTCCTCCAGATCATTGATAAATATATTAAAGAGAACCTGAATGTTCCAGACATGAGGAATGATTTTGGGATGCCTGAAACCTCTCTTCCAAGGTGTGACCTGTTCTTCTCGTTCCACAGGTTGCACACTTCTCCAAGTATGGCCTCCAAGATTCAGACGAGGAAGAGGAGGAACATCCTTCAAAAGTGGACACCAAGAAGTTAAAAACGACGCCTGTGCCACCCCCAGGGCACCAACAGCTGCCCCAGCAAATGACCCTGACCAGCAAACCACCGCCTCCAGCTCAGGTAGAAGGAGGACAGTGACAAAATGGGAAATAAAAATGCAATTGGAGGAGTAGCTGGTGCCTGGGGAGGGGTCGGGGAAGTGACACGTGGCCTGGAAACCCAAGAGCAAAACCTTACCCAAACTCCCCCGAGCTCTTCTGCCCTCGAGGAGTGTGTTTGCATGTTCCTTTTCTTTAAGATACTTGATGTTTCACACTGAGGGGGTGTGTGTGGGGGGGGGGTTGGGAAGGCTTTAAACCCTTATTTCTTGTTGAAATTCTGCTCTGGATTGAGTTCTATTGAGTTACGTTGAGCATCTTTGCACCACTTTGGGAAGAAAACTTGGTTTTTTGTGAATATTGAAATATATGCTCTAGAATTCTAACGCCTCGTGCTGCCTGCCTTGAGAATGATGTTGTGCATTAATTTGACTTTACCATCGTTCGGTATGCAAGACTGTATGCTTTCTACCTTAAGAATGTGCTCTATTTTTATTAAAAATTATTTTTTCAGGCTGGTTACATGCTGGGTTTCTACATGTGTTTGGGTTGGATGTGATTGCTTCTAAAGCTCTGGAAAACATCCTCAGTGGAACATCTCTGCCTTGACCAGGGTTCATTGTAACCCCTTAAAATCTAATGCTAATTTAGGAAAAATCTTTTTGCGTGGTTTTAAAAGTTAGTCTAATTGCAGCTGATACATTTGCATTTTCCAAACGTAATTAGTGTGTTTATTGTCAATTAGGAGCTGGAATTAGGGGGTGAAAAACAGCCTCTTTAAGGCATCCTGCCATTGAGGGGATAGAAAATACTCTTTATGCCAGGTGTTAATGGTAAATGTTCATGATCTACCTGACTCTTTTTGAAGTAAGGGGATAGAAAATACTCTTTATGCCAGGTGTGAATGGTAAATGTTCATGATCTACCTGAATCTTTTTGAAGTAACTTTTCATAAACCAGAAATTAAGTGCAGAGCAGATTTTTTTTTCCCCAAAAAAACCATGCTCTCATTGGGCAGGCTGTGGCAGTGATCTGTGGGCAGGCATGACTGAAGAGGAGGGGATGCAGGAGCAGGATAGGACTTGCCAAGAGGTTTTGGTGGCTGCTCATGGGCAGGTTCTCTGTTTTACCCATCACTGATGTGGCTGCAGCTCTCCTGGGCACGGGGCCTATGCCAAATGCTGTGTGGCATGTGCCATGCTCTGGTGTGTCATCTCCTGGGAAGGTAGAGGAGAACACCTTAATTTCTGCATCTCTGAACTCAAAGCACAAAAAACAGCTCGAGAGGCGGCACTGCCCCATAGCTTGAACACTTTGTTGGGGTTTCTTGTTGATTTCTTGCTATTATTTTATTTTGACTGGGTCTAGTCCTTTGGAAACCAGGAGACATCCCAGCAGCGTCTCTCTTCCTTGGCCAGTGGCTTTGGGGGACTTAGAGCCCTTCTGGAGAGGAGTCTGTTCATAGTGTCAGGAGATAGAACAAGTCACACTGCTGCAAAAGGGCAGTTTCATTACTTCTGTCCTAGGAAAACATCATAGAATCATGGGATGGTTTGGGTTGGAAGGGACTTTAAGGCCTACCATCATAGAATCATGGGATGGTTTGGGAGGGAAGGGACCTTAAGGCCTAGAGAGTCCCACCCCCTGCCCTGGGCAGGGACACCTCCCACCAGAGCAGGTTGCTCCAAGCCCCCTCCAACCTGCCCTTGAACCCCTCCAGGGATGGGGCAGCCACAGCTTCTCGGGGCAACCTGGGCCAGGCTCTCACCACCCTCCCACCAAACAAGTTCTTCCCCACATCTCAGCTCCATCTCCCCTCTTTCAGTGTCAAACCCTTCCCCCTCCTCCTAGGGCTCCCCTCCCTCACCAAGAGTCCCTCCCCACCTTTCCTGGAGCCCTCCCCTTGAGGGACTGGAAGGGGCTCCAAGGTCTCCCTGGAGCCTTCTCTTCTCCAGGCTGAACCCCCCCAACTCTCCCAGCCTGTCTTCAAGGATCAGCTGGGAGCTGCTTTTAATCTCAGGCAGTCTGTGATCCAGCTGTAACCTCTGCAGAAACACCTGAGCCATTCCAGCTCTGCAGCTGGAGGTCTTGGTGCAGGTTAGAGGGACCTGGAACAAAGGTCTGGTGGCACCAGTTCCCTAAAACACCTTTCTGTACCACCAGTGCTGGTGTGTTTCTACATCCCTGTGACAGAATCACAGAATCTTCTAGGTTGGAAGGAACCTTAAAGATCATCTTGTCCAACCGTCAACCTGACTGACAAAAATAGACACCCACACAACAAACAAGGAGCATCATCACTAAACCAGACCTCCCAGCACTACATCAACCCGGCTTTTGAACACCTCCAGGGATGGAGCCTCCACCACCTCCCTAGGCAGGCCATTCCAGTGGCTGATGAACCTTTCAGTGGAAAAATTGTTCCTAACATCCAGCCTGAACCTCCCCCGGGGCCCCTTGAGGCCATTTCCTCTTGTCCTGTCACCTGTGACTTGGGAGAAGAGACCGACCCCCACCTCTCTACACCCTCCTTTCAGGGGGTTGGAGAGAGCAAGAAGGTCTCCCCTCAGCCTCCTCTTCTCCAGGCTGAAGAACCCCAGCTCCCTCAGCCTCTCCTCATAAGACTTATTCTCCAGACCCCTCACCATCTTTGTCGCCCTTCTCTGGACCTGCTCCAGCACCTCAATGTCTTTTTTGTGGTAGGGGGCCCAAAACTGGACACAGCACTCGAGGTGAGGCCTCACCAGTGCCTAAGCAGTGATTATGAGAAGATAGAATTCTTAGAAGATAGAAGATAGAAGTCTCAATCCTGTACAATCAGAAAACCAGGAACAGCACAGTCTGCTCTCGGAGCAGAACATGCTGCTGTAGTGACAAATTAGAGGAGCTGCCACCTCTTCTGTGGATTCTGGCTTCGGAGAACCCCAAAGTACCATCCAGCTGCTGCCTTATCCCTCCTCCTGCCTCGGGCTAATTAAAACCTGCTGATTCATCCTGCTCTCCTGAAGTACATTCCTTCAATATTTGCATTGTATTTGGGAGGGACACACAGGGATCTGACAGACAGCCCTTCAGTCTTCCCTCTTGCTCCTTGGTCACGTCAACAGGGACCAGAGCTGATGTTTTAAGCAGTCAAAAATATTGGGAATAAGTGTCATTTATTCAAGCCCATCTTAGAGATTCAAATGTATTTAGCAAAAACACGTCCGGGTTAATTAACCCCTTTGACTCGCATATCATTAATTAAGGCTTTTGTTTCTGAAAAGAGGCAAAACATCTTGCTTCATTTCCCAAACCTCTGAGAAACTCAGAGCACGGCTCAAAAACCTGCCAAACTCTTGGTGTGTAAAGCGTCGGAGAACAATACTCTTTGGTCCGTAGGAAGGATTTAGGATCTAAATTTGGGGTTGTTTCTTTCTTTCTTGACTAACTTGACTATTAATGAATTTATTAATGTTTCAAGGTCCCCAGGAAATGGTTACACCAGGGACCTGGCTGCATTAAAGCCCAATGAAGGGAGTAGTGAAACTTTTGAGTTTGTAACCACATTTTGACTTGTAAATCTGTTCCCCATACTCCGACACCACTGGCCACGGCTCTTTCCATGGCTGCTGTTGAGTTCTAGCTTTACAGACCCCTGGTCTCATTTTATCTGCCTCATCTGAAAACCTTCATCATGTTTCTTGGCCAATTCTAATGAGCTAAGAAGCAGCCGTTTGAATATGCTCCTGGGTTCCTTGGCATGATTTCCCGTGGGCTCTTGGGTTCCTTGGCATGATCTGAGCACCCTCAGTAAGTTTGCAGATGACACCAAACTAGGTGGGAGTGTTGATCTGCTTGAGGGTCGGAAGGCTCTACAGAGGGATCTGGACAGACTGGATCAATGGGCCAAGGCCAATGGGATGAGGTTCAATAAGGCCAAGTGCCGGGTCCTGCATTTTGGTCACAACAACCCCAGGCAACGCTACAGACTTGGGGCAGAGTGGCTGGAGCTGCCCAGAAGAAAAGGACCTGGGGGTGTTGGTGGACAGCAGGCTGAACAGGAGCCAGCAGTGTGCCCAGGTGGCCAAGAAGGCCAATGGCATCCTGGCTCGTATCAGGAATAGTGTGGCCAGCAGGAGCAGGGAAGTCATTGTGCCTCTGTACTGGGCACTGGTGAGGCCTCACCTCGAGGGCTGTGTTCAGTTTTGGGCCCCTCACTACAGGAAAGACATTGAGGTGCTGGAGCGTGTCCAGAGGAGAGCCACCAAGCTGGGGAGGGGTCTGGAGAACAAGTCCT